TCGGTTGGCATTCGCTCTACCCGGTGGACTACGCTAGGCTCATCAACTTGAACTGGCCTGAAGTTGGTTTGAAAAATAGTTTTGAAATTTGTTTTTTCCGTTAACCAGTTATCGCACCCTATGAACGACAACTCTCATAAGTCGTAAATTGTGCGAGCTAAGGACTAACGAGATCTTACCTTTCAACGTATGATTCCTAACACAGGTTGGACAATATCAAGTGGAAATCGAGCATTCAGCCTGGGGCTTCAACCATAGACTCACACATCGGCCGATTGACAGAGTGAAGAAAGCACCCACGTCGAACTGCCCAGCTACCGACCGATCGAATGAGTAGTTCTAATAACTTTGAAATTTTCCATTCTCCACAAAATGTGATTCGGTATTTGTAATGGTACAGATATGCCCTTTCAATACCTCAGAACTCTTAGGAGATGGTAATATAACCCTCGAATTGGGAGTACTGCTAGTAGATATGGGCTGAGACCAAATATGCTGAACATGCTAATAGGATCATAGGTGCTATGCGGCAGGCCCTACATCTGCGGTCAGAAACCTCTATACGCATCACTCAACTACCTGTTGAAAACACCTTTCTAGCAGACCTTGATGAATTCATTGCTTCTCGACTTCAGCCCACTTGTCCTGAGGAAGACACAGTTAGGGTTCCAGTTACAACTGGAACCCTAACAGCAATAGTTTCTACGGCAATAGGAAACCTCTTTTATATTATATCTAATCTGTTCATGAGAAAGTTTGACCAGGAAACAAAAACGGAGTTAGATTACTTCTCACGGACTTGAATGCGATGTGAAAATAACGGAGAGTTACCCTTTTTGGATATGTTTCAGTGATCAGAAACAAACATGTTCTAGTACTTTTATATACATTCCTGATAGTTCACACCATTGTTCATAACACAAAGCGGAAGGTTTAAACTTTCTTGTCCAAAGACTTGATACGTTCTCATTATGGAAACGAAAAATACGATATCGAAAAAAATGTTATCTAGGACATAGCTGAAAGTAGGTAATGCGTATCTTTTGAATACAGCAGATGAGTTGAACAGGAAAAGTGAACTTTTACGGATAACTTTCATGAAAAGACAATGATTTAAATATTATCTGAAACTAGAAATAGTATTTTATGAAATATCTAGACGGTAGGTTTCAAAACGTATTGCTCACTTCAACAAATGTTAGGTTGAATAAATCAGATAAACTAAGCGAGCTATTAAAACTCGTATGGTCTAGCTATGAATGAATAAAACCGATGAGATAGCTCGTTATTCTCTATTTCACATTCTCTCATCTATTATTAGTCGGTCGGAAGCCGGTCGGTTCGACGTGGCTGCAGGCTGAACAATCGAATTTCACCTGCTAACGTCCAACCTGTGTTAGGAGTCACATTACGGAGGAGTCACGTTAGTCCTTAGCTCGCACAAGTTTCGACTTCTGAGGGTTGAAAAACAAATTAGAGAGGAAAAGAGGAAGTCCAGGGACACCCTGTATATCACAAGTATGTTTCAACTCCGTAAGTAAAATCTGTAGTACGAAATGAATGGAAAAAAATATTTTCCTATAAGTCAGTGTCTATATGGAAGTAGTTGTTTCGAACGGGCTTTTTTTTTCGTTTAATTCAATGTTCCTGGAAAGTAGCATTTTTGAAAGGGCTCTTCTTCCATTTCGTATCTGAAAGAGACTTCTGTGTATGATCTACATATCTTTTTGAAGAGTGTTTATGGTAGTGTCACTATATTTCAGGTTCGAAGGCCATGTATTTTTGAAATTCCTTCCTGGCGTTTCGCTGACATTAGTGGCTAGCTTCTTCAGAGGTTTATACATTCTGAATTGATATCCGATGACTGAATATCACGGTTTCGTAACGCGTATTTATAATGTCAGGTAGTTTGAAGTGCTTATACCTGTACCTGAACTAGGTAATTTGTTGGTAACATTCATTGACTGTTTTGACTGTTTTATACTTACTGTCATACTGTTTGCTAGTCTTGAAGTTCTTAGAATAGAATTCCATATTCACCGCGTTTTTTGTCTTCCGTACCAGTTGGCTATGGTATCCCTGATTGCGGGCACTGAGTTCAGAGTTTTCAAACAGAATTCTGTGGTTTTCTTCACTGAGGACGTGTTCTGCCACAACCGACTTGTTCGTTTGGCCCAGCCTGCAGTTTCTTTCATGTTGCTTCAGCCTTCTTCCTATGGATCTTTTGGTGGATTCCGATAAATACCTTTCCATAAGTGCACGGTATGCGATAGACCCCTGCTGCTGATAGTGGATTCCTTTTGCTTTTTACCGACCCAATTATTTGTTGTATCTACCTAGTGACTTTGAAAACTGTGTAATTGATGTCGTGTTTTCCCAATATATTTTCAATTCTGTCTGTGACCCTAAAGATGTATGGTAGATATGCGGCTGCAACCATATAATTATCATCTCCGTTTTTAACCGTATTACTCTTCAGTTTCATGGCTTTTTTGATATCGGATCTGTATCCATTCGATCTCGAACCCACTTCGTCCCAGTTCTTCCTTTAGATGCTCTGGTTCACAGGTTCACATATTCTTCGAGCCCGTTCCGTTAGAGTGGAGATGACTGCTCTCTTCTGGCTAAGATGGTGTGCATGTTTTCGGTACACTTTGTGGTTTACTCTAGCACCACATCGTTCAATTACTACATCTAGGAATGCTATTCGCTGATCCTGTTCAGTCTCCATGGTGAACTTGATGCTTGGATGTTGAGCGTTCAAGTGGTCTAGGAAAAGGTTCAGAGAATCTCTGTCATTCTTCCAGATGACGAAAATGTCATCCACGTAACGTAGCCACAAAAACAGTTTGAATTCAAAGGTGTCGGTTGCAGAATACCCTCGCAGTGACGGAAACCACAGGATTCTGTTTGAAAACACAGGATTCATTGCCTCCAACCAGGAATACCATAACCGACTGGTACAAACTGGTACTGGTACAAACATATGTATATAATTTCATCAGGAAAGAAGAAGAAGCAGTGAACCCAAATGAATATGGAATCCCATTCTGAGAAGTTCAGAGATAGCAAACACCATGGCAGTAGGTACAAAAAAATCAGTAAATGTTACCGACAAATTACCTAATCCAGACAACAGAAAAAATTGTGTTAATTGTTTCTTAGTCAATAATCTGGTCAATAATAATAATATTCTTCATTGATCATATACATGATTAGTCATGATGTTCAATATAGCTTGCATGGTCAAACTAATAAAAAAATATATGTATACGTATTGAGAGTAAAACCCTCAGATCAATAAACAATAGTTTCGAGAGAAATTAAATTGGATTAACACAGAATATTTTTATCGAGCCTATGCCTTTTTAATGAAATTTTACAATCACTGATTCTGAAGGGTTTAGAATTAATTTATTTCTTTGACACCAGGTAATGAAGTCTTCAATAACAGTTTTTGAGCTGAAAATGAATTTTTTGATGTTTGAGCCAGATATGGTTATTCTGGTATCATCAGCAAACAACGTGACATACCGTTTGGTATATGGGGGTGAATTACTCACATATAGCAGGAACAGTAAGAGTCCGATAACTGAGCACTGCGGTAAACCAATTTCAAAGCCTGGGGATCAGAAACTGTATACAGTTTATTGTATGATTTTCACTACAGGAGGTTTTACAAAAACTGCGACACGTGTTTCGCTATACAATAGCTTCCTCAAGCATATGTTTGAGGATCTGTTTTCTGACTCACTTCTGGATTGTGTCTCTGTTGAAACCATTATTATGTTCTATCTGTATAATCATTTTAATTACACAATCTAGATGCTCTGTGTAACATTGGATAGTAGGCTGCTGATTTATGACTGTCGGGATGGAAATAGTCACTTGGGATTGCTATTGTTTGTAGAGCTCGGTTTTCTGAATACAATGAACTCAAATTCATAATGATTATGTGTAATGGTAAGGTCTAAGAAATGTATCTGTTTCGAGTGTGAACTGTATGTTTCTATCGAGATTATTCATAAATGTCATAAAATGGCTCAGCTGTCGGGTAGTGCCTCCCAAACAGGCGAGAATATCGTCTACATATCTATACCAAGAATTAATATGTTTTTTACCCAGGTCGGAATTTTTTATGGTGGTCTCCAAGCTGTTCATAAATATGTCTGCTAAAAATGAACTGAGTTGTCACAGGTAAATAAAATTCAGGCACTCAGTTGAGTTGAGAACCATCTGTTATTACCTATAGTGGTGAATACATAAATGAGGGTTAACATTGTTGATTATATTTCAGTTTTTTGTATTCGTTTGAAAATGTACTTATAGAACGAAACTGCAGTACTTTTAGTTACAAATACGAGTGGTATAAAAACATAGGAACTTTTATTTCTCATTTTTCATAATGTTGAAACCTTTTATCTCCCTTCTTTAATTCATGCAGCGCTCATAAATAGTGGTCATTACTACAAACAGTTTTTTGTATAAAGCGATGGTCCACTTCAATGATGCAAGAGTGCAATTTTTTTGTTTTTTTGAAATCACTTTCATGTGAATTGATCCGATCTTTCAGATGTCTGCCAGTTTGGCCAATGTGTACTGGATCGCAGTCTGCACAAGGAACAATATATACTATAGCTGAATTAGGAGTCGTTGGAGTTTTGTCTTTCGATTCTGAAAAAATGTTTTTGATAGTTAGAATGATTTCGAAAGCAATAGTAATAGTAGAAAAAGGTTCAAAAATGTTTTTATGGAAGGTGATTAATATGTAGGAAAGGACTGGGAGTTCTGGCCATACTTTACAGTTCTTGACAATGGTCTCAAATCTAAAGTCGAAACGTCGAACAACTGAAGATTTATAACGCGGTGCAAAATTTCTTACTCTTTCATCAACGTTTCAGGCTATCCACTATTATCAGCCGATACATTATAATCGTCCTGAACTGAATAGTTAATTTTGCCAATAAAATGATCAATTCTATGATTTCTAATCATTTCAGGTTAAAATGAAAGAGTATTTATGCATCCTATTAATTCTGAGTCATTTAACATGTATCTGGAGCATGCCAAAATGCTGTACTGGAAGGAATATTCTCAACAAAAAATGTATAGACGGCGGGCCAACAAATATTGTGGAATGCAACGTGAGGATACTATTAGAGATGAACGATAGCAAGGTGACCTATTCGTTAGATCCAGATGGCAATTTGGTGGAAAATGATGAAGTACTGGCTGCACCACACTAGTAAGTGATTTGATATAAACTATGAAAACGTTGTCTAAACAAACATCCAACACCATTAAATATGACTCATTCCAAAATAAAATTAATCCATCAGAAAATTATTCTTTCTGATATTCGAACGTTCGCTACAATAACAAAGTATTTACTGAGGTGCCAACATATCTACATTTCAGTTTCTGTTCAACCACCTTGCAAAAAGACAACTCTGAAGTACTTCTTGTCTGTTTGGATGAAGAAGATTTGGCAATTGAGAGCACGGTGAGATCTATAGATGTGGGACTTCAATTAGTGTCTGTATTATTCATCATTTTGACGATATGGGTATATCTTGTTGTTCCTCAAATGTTGGATTTGCAGGTAATTATTTTTTGTCACATTCAGAACTGTAATTTTTTTCTGAAGGCAATGATCAGGCAGTTTAGTTGTAGGCAAAAATATAAACTTATTGGTTGAAAATCATAAGAAATAGAGGTCGCATTGTTCATCTACTTATTTCATAGAGAAACTTTAATCAAAGGATATACTGAAAAAATCAAATAAACTAGTGGTTAATACTTTTTGGAAATTCTTGATCAGTCATGAGTTTAGGCAGCAAGAGGTGAAATATGGCCAACCTCATGATGAAAGTAAATGATTCTACATCTTTTAACTTACGTTTTGAAACTGCTGCATGTATTGAAGATACAGGATGTCGCATTAATCCTTGGAGTTAGTTGTTTTTTTTCATCAAGGGAATTGACTTGTTGGATTGAATAATAAGAAACTGTCACCTTTCGATGGTGAGAATTAATTTATCAAAATGTTTGCAATCAGTTGTTGATTAATAATAAAATAATGAGATATCAACTCAAATTCCATCCACCCAGAAACATCACACGTTTTATTTTTGTTAATATCAGCAGATATTTATTCAATATATTAGCTGTTATATTTCACGCTAATGAAAGTCATCACATCTTCAAACTCAGCAGAATAAAGTTACAATTTGTTGCATAGAAATTGGATACCGTATAATTAGCAATTCTCAGCATAATGCTAAAATGATTATAATTTCCACTATGTAAAATCCCAAGAAATCACTCGAATATCACTGAGGGGTAGCCGTTCCCCATTTTTGTGGATCTATTTGTTTCCCGGCTTGAACCCCACAATCCGATCCTAACAGAAATAGTTATAAGAAAATGATGTTATGTACTCTGATTGGTGTTCGTTCTCGTGACTCGAAAGCGATTTAATTATATTCTGATTTCCATCTCTAATTCAGACGTAACTTTGGAATATCTCTTTTTATCAAAAGCTATTTATCCTGTCAACGATAGGAAATGCTGGAACTCAGTGGTTCGAAATAACAGAGAAGACCACCAAATTCATATGTTGCATTCATCGACCACCAAGCGATATACAATATGAGGTACTATTCTCTTCACTTGCAAACACTATTGACTTTCTGCAAATCAGTTATTCCAGTGCCGAAGTTTCCATTGTCGGTGACTTCGCTGTACAAAATATCGAATGACTCAAATTTTCAATTATTAACAACGAACAAGGTCGCGAAGCTGGGGCTTTTGCAATAAGCAACGAACTTACTCAGATCATAAACGAGCCAACCAGGATTCCTGATCGTAATGAAGAATATGCTGGTCTTCTGGTTCTATACCCAATAACCAATCCAGAAATTTACAGTCATCGTAAGGTCTCCATTGGAATTTTCTGACCACAAACTCATTTCAGTGTTGTGAAAATTTCAATCAATGTCGGGGAACAATCTAAGCCGCGGAAAGTTCGGCATTACAGACTAGCTGAATGAGAGAAGATGTTTGTCTCAGCTTTAGAGATCCATCAATTTGTGCTTCTGAAGTCGCGAAAGTTATTCTATTATCCATGGATGCAAATATTTCTTTTTCAATGAAAAGACCTCCTATGGGAAACCTTGGTTCAACAAAAATTGCGAGCAAGCAGTGCCGAAAACCGAACTAGGTTTTTTGATACTCGCAACAGCTGCAAACCTATGATAAATGAAAGCAAAGATCTTCACAATCAGAGAATTAGGGATAAACTGCTTGCCAATCCCAAGGGGCCTAGATCCTTCTGGTCGGTACCTATAGCTGTTAATCAAAACTTTACAAAATCCACAATTCCACCAATAACACAAGCGGATGGTTCAATTGCAACAACAGCCATAGAAAAAGCAAATCTACCAGTTGAACGATTTATGTCCCACTCCACAGTTGATTTTCTGGAAAAAACACCACCCACTATTCCCACACTGGAATACACAATGCGACAACGTCTAGTCAGGCGAATATCGAAATAACTCAATATCAACAAGGCGTCTGGCCCTCATGAAGTGCTCATCATCGTCTTACAAGAAGGGGGTTTTTCTTCTTGTTGGAAGATTGCTCGCATTCCCAAAAATGGTAAAAAACCTTCCAAATAACTATAGACCAGTCGCTTTGCTATTAGTGATATCAAAAATAATGGAGAAAGTCGTAAACCATCATATCCTCAATTATTTGGAAAGCTTCAACATCTTGAGCGATGATCAATATGGCTTTTGGAAACAATGATCAACAGGCGACATTCTATCGTATGTCACCCATATTTGGAATAACGCAATCGAGAAACATGGGTAATCAAGAGCTGTTGCGCTTGATATTTCTAAGGCTTTTCACCGTGTGTGGCATGTGGGTTTGCTGGCCAAACTTTGATGCTATGGCTTGTCGAATAATTTTTGTGTATAGCTCTTCAGCTTCCTGAAAGAACGTTCTCTGTAAGTGACCGTCGATGGATATCACTCGAATACTTTCACCATGAACAGTTGTGTTCCCCAGGGATCCATATTGTCTCCAAACCTCTTTTTATTATATATCAATGACCTATTGGAGAAAACCAAGAATTCAATATATTGCTTTTCTGACGACAGTACATTTATTCTGTCATTCCATTCGGATTCCAGGACATTGGCTACGGAGGCACATCTTCACCGGTAGCAGGAGGTTGCATTTCTCAATGAGGATCTAGAGGTGATTTCGAATTGTGGTGAAATGAACCACGTTCAATTCAATGCTAAAAAAACCCAGGCATTGGTTTTCTCCAAGAAGATAAATATCTCCAAACCGAATATAATAATGTCAGGTCAGACAATTCCGCTTTCTGCTTCGATAAGTTGGTTGGGGATTAAATTGGACACCAATATGCCTTGGCACAATCATGTCGCTGGAATTGCAAAGGCTGCATCTCAAAAGCTAGAAACTCTGTTCCGAACCAGAAAACTATATACACCTCATCAACTATTGATGCTTTATGTAGCTCAGATCAGACCTTCTTTGGAGTATTGTTCTCATGTCCGGGGCTCTACTCCAAAAATACCCTGAAGTTGCTGGATTCCATCCAGAAGAGAGCCATCCGCCGGATTGGAGACCCAAACGTCACGTGCAATCTTGATAGACTGAAACATTGAAGAAAAGTTGGAGATTTGGGAACGGTAACAGGAAGTGTTCAGGTGACTTGGCATATTTGATTCCACCCAGAGCAGTACATTTCAAAAATACGCCACGGACTGTGGCTGCTCATAGTTTTGAGGTTCAACTCAGTACACTTCGAACATCACTGTACAAGAACTTTTCCATTTAGAGAACTGCGTTTATGTGGAATAAATTTCCTGAGAACGTTTTTCCAAATGGATTTGATCCCGAGTGATTCAAATCCAATGTGAATCGCTACTTTCGCATACACCTATCTGAGAGCGCCTTAAGGATTTTCCTGTAGTGCTTGTGTTTTGTCCTTGAAAAAATAAATTCTGAAAATTAAAAAAAATGTTTTTTTTATAATTTCTGTTATGGAATGAACTATTGTGTATTAGCAAAATCATATTTCTCTTTGAATCCCTATCTTAGTTCTCAATCACCTTTGGAACAGCAACAACTCGAAGTTGTACGTTATTGAATTAACAAGCTCTATATCAAGATGTAGAGATAAAATATTCTACAGATCTTTGGCGAAATGAATTTTTGAATTTTTTTACCCATAAAAGTATCAGTTGTAACTTAAAAAATGAACATAATATAATTTCACAATTATTTCTGATCAGCTGATTGATATTCAAATTGAATGATCAATTTTACAATATTTTACATGTAATCCTTAGGAGTATAGTGGTCAGTATCCCCGCCTGACACGCGGAAGACCGGCGTTCGATTCCCCGCCGTGAAGATATTTTTTAAACAAAACCGTTCATTTTTTGGGTCCCTAAAGAGCATTCAGTACAATGAGTCACTAAAATTACCAATTTCATCTTTATTCAAATAAGTAGAATGTGATTTACTCCTGGAGATGAAAGATATGAAACATATATCTTGTTGAGAGAGGAAAGGAATGTTTTGTAACAAAATAGATCTTTTTCGACTCTAAAACTGAATGCAGGATTTCTACTTGGTAGAAATAATTTACAAAATCACACAGTTCAACATATCACATTAAATCTGTATATACTGTTTCCCGCAAAGATCAAGCCCAAATTTCTAATTGAAGATTTCATGAAATGTGCTAATTCTCTACTATTTCCATAATGATAGTTTGGTCGAAATTCGCATTTCACTAGACTTTTCTATCAAATTTCACTATTTCCACCTTTTGTGAGTTTTTGCTACACTTTCCGTGAAATTTACTACAGAGTGTTAGGAATCACACGTTAAAAGGTAAGACCTCGTTAGTCCTTAGCTCGCACAAGTTTCTCAACTTCTGAGAGTTGTCGTTCGTATGGGGGCGATAGCTGATTAACGGAAAAACAGATTTTAAACAGAACAGAGCTATGTGAAAGCCCCATAAGTAATTGCATTTCAGAAATATATAAATGGTTTTTGGTCAACACATTAATCGGTACTTCTTTGAAGAAAGCACGATTTTTGTATTTATACACTCAAAAAGATTCATTTCGGAAAATTCAATTTTTTGTGGAGTTACACTGTTCTAACGAATGCTGAAAATTGTAAATAACATTCACTTATCATGTTTTAAAATTTAATTTCCTGCAATATCGCTGAGAAGCATGACAAACGAAACATATCCCCACTGGGATGTGTTTCTGTTGAAAGGCAATTTAATTGTGTACTGAGATATCACGGCAACAAAACTTAATTTTGTTCTCTAATCTTTGTTCCGGTGACTGAATTGATGAAATTACCATTAGGGGCGAGACACTTTCAGGATTGCATGCATTGAAATGCGTATGTAATGATATTTGTTTTCTACATCTGTACATCGGGACTTAGTTATAGTAATCTGTGGTTGGGTTTACAACCCGTCTTAGTATATATTGATGACAAGTAGAAACAGCACAGTTGATACGGAGTTTTCCTGGTCATTCGATTGAATGTAGCCTATTTTGATACGATACACACTCAGTGTGTATGTATAAAGAAAACCTAGATGCATTACTAAAACCAAAAACTCAGATAATGAATAATATATTAACAACTGGAATATTTCCATATAAACTAAAAATCGCAAAAGTGATACCAATATTCAAATCAGGAGATACAACATCGATATCAAACCACAGACCAATTGCATTGGTCCTCCTTTTGGGTAAAATTGCTGAAAAAATAATTGCGATAAGAATAGCCTCATTTTTAGAACAAAATCACTTATTCACGAGTTCGCAGTTTGGATTTAGAAAGCGGAAAAGTACTGCTGGGGCAGTTTTTGAGCTAGCCAATTTCATACGAGAGGGATTCGAAGACAACGTATGAACCTTGGCAGTATTTGTTGATCTGACTTGACATTTTATACGAGGGTAAGACAAAGAGAGGAAACCACCGTTATCCAGGACATAACTGAGTCAGCTAATGATTGGTTTAACGCAAATAAATTACAAATCAACAAAGCGAAAACAGCTTCTATGATATTCTTAAACCAAGGAAATGATGCTCAGTCGTTAAAGTTTTTAGGAATTCACTTGGACAGCAACTTGTCGTGGAAAACTTACACAGACAATCTTTCGAGTAGGTTATCTAAGGCCATTTATGCTATCAGACAAGTTAAAATTAATTTAGGTAGGAAAGCGGCTATCATGACATACCATTCACTATTTCATAATGTTAAGACATATGAATTATTAAATTGGGGACACTCTATCTACTTACAGCCTATTTTTTTACTCCAAAAAAGAGCAATTAGAGCAATTGTGGGTTTAAATAGATTGGAAAGTTGTAAGCCGTGGTTTGTACAGCTAGGTATTTTGACGTTACCTTCATCAGTCATAGATACTAACTTGGTATTCATAAAAGAAAATATCAGCAGCTATCAGACACTTAGTGATAATCATAATTATAATACGAGAAATAGAGACAACCTGCTGATTCCACAACATAAACTAGCAAGTGCTAGTCGCATTTATCTAGGAATGAGACTGTTTAATAAATTACCTATTGAATTGAAAGATACACACCTGGAAATATTCAAAAAGAAACTGAAGAGTATTCTATTGAGGGAAGCCTACTACGAAGTAAATGATTTCGAATTGTCCTAAGTTGATTTGAATTACAATTCCTGTTATTTTTTCATTCTTTTGGTTAAATTTGTTTCAAATTATTACATAATACTCCTAACTCTTATTTATAAATATAGATTGGTGTTCGTTCTCGTGACTCGAAAGCGATTTAATTATATTCTGATTTCCACCTCTAATTCAGACGTAACTTTGGAATATCTCTTTTTATCAGAAGCGATTTCTCCTGTCAACGATAGGAAATGCTGGAACTCAGTGGTTCGAAATAACAGAGAAGACCACCAAATTCATATGCTGCATTTATCGACCACCAATCGATATACAATATGAGGTACTATTCTCTTCACTTGCAAACACCATTGACTTTCTACAAATCAGTTATTCCAGTGCCGAAGTTTCCATTGTCGGTGACTTCGCTGTACAAAATATCGAATGACTCAAATTTTCAATTATCAACAACGAACAAGGTCGCGAAGCTGGGGCTTTTGCAATAAGCAGCGAACTTACTCAGATCATAAACGAGCCAACCAGGATTCCTGATAGTGATGAAGAATATGCTGGTCTTCTGGTTCTATACCTACCTGTCGAAAGGCAATTGTGTACTGAGATATCACGGCAACAAAACTTAATTTTGTTCTCTAATCTTTGTTCCGGTGACTGAATTGATGAAATTACCATTAGGGGCGAGACACTTTCAGGATTGCATGCATTGGAATGCGTATGTAATGATATTTGTTTTCTACATCTGTATATCGGGACTTAGTTATAGTAATCTGTGGTTGGGTTTACAACCCGTCTTAGTATATATTGATGACAAGTAGAAACAGCACAGTTGATACGGAGTTTTCCTGGTCATTCGATTGAATGTAGCCTATTTTGATACGATACACACTCAGTGTGTATGCATAAAGAAAACCTAGATGCATTACTAAAACCAATAACTCAGATAATAAATAACATATTAACAACTGGAATATTTCTGTATGAACTAAAAATCGCAAAAGTGATACCAATATTCAAATCAGGAGATACAACATCGATATCAAACCACAGACCAATTGCATTGGTCCCCATTCTGGGTAAAATTGCTGAAAAAATAATTGCAATACGAATAGCCTCATTTTTAGAACAAAATAACATATTCACGAGTTCGCAGTTTGGATTTAGAAAGCGGAAAAGTACTGCTGGGGCAGTTTTTGAGCTAGCCAATATCGTAGGAGAGGGATTCGAAGACAAAAGTATCAACCTTGGCAGTATTTGTTGATCTGAGTAAAGCTTTCGATTGTGTCTCAAAGAATATTTTACTCGAAAAGCTGGAATACTATGGTCTCAGAGGTATATCTCTTGATTTGATGCGATCTTATATGACAAATCGAACATGTTCATGTACCATGACAATAAATTCAGTAAACAATCCCCAATAAAATATGGAGTACCACAAGGCAGTATTCTTGGACCCTTGCTGTTTCTTAATGGTTAAATTTGTTTCAAATTATTACATAATACTCCTAACTCTTATTTATAAATATGACTCACAGATTTGTTAAAAATCTATATGGACCTTAATATGTTTATGTTTCACTTTTAAATTTTGTTTCATATGTCATGTGTTAGTAATCATGTTGTAATTTTACGTTGTGAATAATGTATAATTTACAATTTTATATATGTCATATATGTGTATTTTATTTGACTTGTCCAGACACCATGGTGTACTTGTGATCAATTAAACAAATAAAATAAATAAAAAATAAAGGCGATTCTATTCTACAAGAGGATTCATTGTTCCAATTTCAAGTTGTATTGCAATATGTAAATCATGAAGTTTGAATAATAGATCCCGATCAGTCGCAGAAAGAAACCATTACAGTTACATATTTAAGATTGGTTTAATTTTGAGATGAAAATGAAATGAAGGACCATAAATCTTCCAAGAAACATCAAAACGAGTCACCAATCTCCATAAATAACGTTAATCAGGTCATAAACCTTTTCCTTTCCTGCGTGTTCCTCCGAATGGTTTGATGGCAAATAAATTTAAATAAATTCGAATTAAATGTTTCCCGTAAATTTCCGTATTCTCAAGGTTACTTCATATATTTCGAATGGCATTTTTGACATAATGTACCTCGTGCCTTTTCTATATTCATATGTTGAAATACATCAATTGTTTATTTCAGGGTATTTGTATAATACACTCCATTTCAGGATTGGCTGTGGCTTTCATAGCACTTGCAATTATCAATCTCTCAGGATACCTGTCAGTCATACCATGTCATTTATTGGCCTTCATAATGTATTTTTGTTTCCAATATGCATTTTTTTGGCAGAACGTTTTATGCTTCCACATTTGGAGACAAGTTATGTGAGTATACCATTTAACTAACTGTAATACATTTTAGGGTATTAGGTGAGCTTGTGTATACAGTGCATTTCTTCAATGTCCCCCCCTTTTATTGTTTAAAAGGGTCAACTCAAAAAATTGAAAGGTATAATGAAATTAATGCATGAATACTTTATTTTGAAGTGAAGTTGACAGATGAAACTTTCAAGTTGGCGACTGGGCGCTATCTGGGAAAAAATTAAATGGAAAGAGGGGTCTTGTGACACATCATTTTGAAACTTCTGACGAATACTTCACAACCCTAGAATATGAAGTCAATATCTTTACCTACTACAAAATGGCGGAACATTTAATAATTTCCTGAAGACAAAACAAAAATATTCCTTTTTATCTGCCATATGACAATTTCAACAATTCGATAAGGTTTGCTAAGTTATTTTTTATTCATAAAAACGACAAGAAATTCAGTTAGAGTATTCTCATTTAGTTTTCGGTTTTACTAGTAGAACGTCAACAATCTCTGAAATGGTCTGTTCTCGTCCATTCGAGGAAAAAATTGAAGCGATTTTTATTAACGGTGCGACGCGTAACTTTCACGAGACCGAAAGGATTTTCAATAAACGTTTTCCAAATCGTCCTATCTGTAAAAAATATTTGAGGGAACTTGTATCCAAATTCACAACTACCCGTAGTGTACATAATAAAAAGCCCCCAGGTCATCCGTCCATCCCGGAAAAACAGCAAGTGCAAATAAATTGGTGAGATGGTAGTAAATCCTGAACAGTCTACTAATTCCGTCGCGAATGTTTGTGAGGTGTCTCCTTCTACTTTTGAATATGAATACTTATCATGTATACAAAATTAAAATTGTACACCAATTAACTGAAGAAGACCCTGATCGAAGAACAGAATTCTGCGAAATCATGACGGAAACCATTGCAAGGCATCCTACCTATCTTCACAATATATGTTTTAGTGACAAATGTACATTTTTTTTAAACGGCAATGTTCACAGACAAAATTGCCGTCATTGGAATGACATCAACCGTTTTCCGGGAAACATTTACCCGATATCACGAAAAAATTAACGTGTGGGCAGGAATATTGTAGGACCTCTATTTATTGATCAAAATTTAACAGGGGAACTATATTTGAATATGCTGGAAACTACTGTTGACCCTCTCATCAGTGAAATCGTCGAAGCGAATCCTAATGAATTCGATAAGGATATTGTATTCCAACAAGATGGAGCATCACCACATTACTCCAGGCAAGTTAGAAACTATTTGGATACTCCTTTTACCGATCGTTGGATTGGCCGTCGAGGTCCTAAAGAATGGCCAGCCGGCTCGCCAGATTTGATACCTTTGGACTTTTTCTATGGGGCTATTCGAAGCAAAAGGCGTACGAAACTAAACCTGCTTCAATATAACGGAAGAGAATAATAAATATTTGTAGAGATATTAACGTTACTGTGTTCGAAAATGTTCGGCGTGAAATATCGGATAGGCTGTTCATATGTCAAGAAGTTGAAGGCCACCATTTCGAGCATCTTCTGAACTGACCTCAAGCTCATTACCTCATATTATGTAGTTAAATGTCAATGTAGTCAGGCAATTATTAAAAGTTCCGCCATTTTGTAGTAGTTGAAGATATGAAGATATTGACATCATCAGCAGATATTGGAGAAAAGAAGAAAGTAACACGCCAGTCGGAGGTAGAAGGCAAACGGCGCACAAGATCATCTAGTAAGAGACACTAAATTATACTGAAAGAAATCAAATGATATACCTATACTTCTTTACATTATATAATAATTTTATTTTGTTTATTATCGCCTCCTGTAATCAAATTTACATAATTACCTGCAGATAGTGCTTACACGTGCTTTCAAATTATTTTTGGTGTTGTTATTTCTATTTGTAAATATGAGGTATATCATCCGTACTATACAAACCAGGATTATCAGTCTATCAGTCTTTCTGTATCACTTACAAAAAAGTATTAACTAGAAAAACTAAATGAAATGGACCCATATATCAAGGAATTTGATACACAAAAACTACCAACAGAGATAACAGTAAATTTCGACGAATGCAATTTAATGTTAGGAAAAGTTAAAGGCTTCAGAATAATCACACAAATATTCGAAGTATCACAAGAAACATTGATGAGTTGAGAATTGTATTGCAGAACTTCGATGTGAACTTTGATCTGATTGTATTAACTGAAACATGGAAAGTAACTAATTTTTTCAATCTTGACAGGATACGATGTTATATATAATGAGGGTAAAATGAATCAGAACAATGGGTGTATTGTATATATTAAGAGTGAACATATTTATACGTATGAAATTAAAACCTTGGAAGATAACAACCGAATAATTGAATCAAATGTTACTGTAAACACTAAAACGTATAAAATAATAGCATTATATAAATCTCCTCCCCTGCCTCCGTCTGATTTCATAGAGACACTGAGTAAGTACTTGGAACATCAAGAACAAAATAAAACAGATTTTAAGATTATGATTGGAGATATAAACATAAACATAAAGGATGAAAATAATGATGATACTATATCTTATTTAAATATTCTAAATGTATATGGATACAGATCAGCTATAAATCTACTAGATATAAGGATACTAGAATCAACGGAACTCCGAAATCATGCTTAGAACACATATTTGGCCAGCACAAAGATTGAATGTAAATATCTTGCCAGTAATAATATAGGTAATCAAGCGTTAGCGATTATCATCCAATAGTACTGCAGATAAAATCTTCGGAAACGAAATCAAATGTAAACAATGATAGAGAACCTGATATCAAATATTATTTGAATAAGAATACATTTTTTAACCTAGTCTCAGCTGAAACGTGGGAAGACATATATAAAAAGGAAGACGTAGAAGACCTTGCAACCCAATTTATTAGTTAACTAAAAGCTATGATCGCATTGAGTACAGAAAAAATGCGAATCAAAAGAAGTCAAATCAAAAGGAAAAAAATGCATAACTAATGGTCTAATAAATTCCATAAATACAAAAAACAAGGTATATGAACAATTGCGCATTGACCCATACAACGACGGTTTGAGAAATCAATAGAAACGATACCGCAATAAACTTAATGAAATGATTAGAAAAACCAAAGAAAAATTTTACATAAATGAAATCAACAAACTAAAGAATAACTCAAAAGGAAAGTTAGCCGGATCCATCACTCAGCAAGAAACCAAAATTGTAGACAAAACAATATCTAACTCATTCTTCTTAGAAGACACCGTGAAGTTAACATGAAGTTAAAAATGTAATTATTAATCTGAATAAAGGTAAATCACCAGGTCTTGAGTACATCAGGTCTGAAACTCTGCTAGAATTTGTCGATTACTTAGCTAACCAATTACTCATATTATAAATAAAGCCATGAACACCGATAGTTTCCCAGAAGCCTTTGAAACTTCGATAATCAAACCAATATTTAAATCCGGAAATGAAAATGAGGTAATTAATTTTCGTCCTGTATCATTAATCAGCCATATAACAAAAATATTTGAGAAAATATTGAAAGTAAGAATAGACAAATATTTGAAAATATATAAAATACACTCTGACAATCAACGTGGATTTCGAGAGGCCAGTTCAACACAAGATGCAATAATTCATCTGATGAGAGAAATTTACGATTCTATGGATAATGGTAAACCATGTCTTTGTGTCTTTATTGATCTAGCCAAAGCTTTTGATATGGTTCCACATGAGAAATTGATGAAGGTAATGGAAAACATCGGTTTCAGAGGGACATCGCTGAAATTATTTGGAAGCTATCTCTCTGATAGGAAACAGTGCGTCAAAATAAATGAAACAATCAGTTCTTACGGTACCATAGAATATGGAGTCCCCCAAGGAACGGTGTTGGGGCCTGTCCTATTTAATATCTACATGAATGATTTGTTTAGGGTCAAATCAGAAGGTACCATTATCAGTTTTGCTGATGATACAGCCGTACTATATCGTGCTGATATGTAGAAAGAATTGAAGGACAAGGTTGAGGGAGATTTCATAAAAATTGTCAGTTGGTTCAAGAGCAGGTTGCTGACAATCAATACAAAAAAAACTCACTTTGTAACTTTCACTTATTTCAGCAACAACTTACCAAATTATACTTCGTTGGAAATACATAATGGCAATGACACAATGACTATAAATATAAAAGAACATATAAAATATCTTGGCATAATAATAGACAACAATGTAAGATGGAATAAGCACGAAAAATATGTTGCGAATAAAATAAGGTTTCTACTGAACAAATTCAAGTTTTTCAAGAAGATTTTCGACATAGCACAGCTACGAACATTATATTTAATTCTAGTACAGTTCCATATCAACTATGGAATAATTGTGTGGGGAGGTATTACTGATAATCATCTGAGAGTTATCAATGTCCGTCAAAAATTTTTCATTAAAATTATTTTGAATAGAGATTATACATATCCGTCTGAAACACTTTTCACAGAATTTAAATTTTTTACATGTAGACATTTATATTTTCTAAGTCTTGCAATGTATCAGAATGAACCCTCACGGGTTGCGGTGTAGGGTCGAATAGACCCACTCACTTTGGACCTAACCTAACCGAACCTCCTCCTCTGGCATCCTGAGCTCGATCTTCTCTGACTGTGATAAAGCCGTTTGTGTCTATGCTCCTGTCGAAATTTGATTTTTTATAGAAGCATTATATCTATCTTGTGCTCATCAATAAAATCAATAACAAGCTGAAGCTTGCTGTTAATTCCGTTGAGCATACATACATACACTGGCTTTACAGGTCGTAGGTTTGGATATTGCTACAGAAGGATTTCAAAACCACCGCAGTCCTCGCCCGCGACATTCTCTGAATGAGATATTCCGTTTACCTAGAGAGCTCTTATAAGTTCACCACTTCTAGAGTGACCCAAAACCACAAGGGCGGCCGCCGGACCTTCCTCGACAAGGCGAGGGGGAATCTCCTGCTGTTGTTCTCCCATGGCTTCTTGTCTGATCTCCTCCCTGCATTCCCTGAATTTCTCCGCCCATGCATTCCTAACGGGTGGGGGTGCCGGTACGAATTTAGTTTTTTGTCCAGTTTTATGGCGATGGCGTATTTCTAGATTTGGTACAGTCCCGATTCAGGTGGGAATCTGCACATTTCAGGAAACTAGGCGCTCTGCTACAGTTTGACGTGGCATGCCATTACGTTGGCAATTTCTACATTACACCGTAATCCTATCGATCTTTTCGATTTCACACCTAATTATGAAGTGTCGCAGGTGATAAGCCTTTTTTCTAAGTTGAATAACTATCACCGAATCTTCGGTGACAACCGTATAGATCGGTATCCTATCGGTATTTTTTCTATACACCTTGATAACCGACACCTGCAGCCCGTTTTTCAATTTTTCGTACATCTCCTCTGGGTTGAGTTCGGAATACAATCAATATACCACGAATACATGGCAAAGTATAGGTATGGAACTCCGCCTTTGATGCCGTCATGGTTCTAGCCAGAGCCTGATTGTCTTCCTCATTCCTGGTGTATATTAGGGTGATCTTTTCTGTACACTCAACAGTGGAATTGCACTTGAGACCCATTTTCTGGTATTGTTCTTTCTTTACGGGTAGTATTCCTTTCAGCACGAGAGGTGGAATGTTCTTAACCTCTCTGAATCCATTATTATTGTTTGTTAGGTTGGGTGTTTCTTTCCGTCACCTCCGGAAGGTTTTGAAACATGTTGTTTGTTTTAGTTTGCTGAGGGCACACCCTTGTAGCCCAAGGGTGTGCCCTCTTTTTCGACACCTAAAATTCCTGAAGCTTTATGCCTGGTTCAGACAGGGGTGGGAATTCTTCCCCTCATTTTCGGATCCTCAATAATAGAATATTAGTATTCATGAATTTCGTTTCGAGTTGGCTCTCTCAACACCGCCTTGACTGCATGGAAGGTTGTATATGTAAAAGGTTTCCCTCTTGGACAATGGAAATGGTAGAATTGAAACAAGTATAATCTGCAACAAAATCATGAGCCTACTACTGATTCGGTAGCCCTCATACTATTAGAATTATGCACAAAAGTATTTACAGTTCATAAGGAGAGACTGGAAACTCTTATGAACCATTACAATCTATAACCCTCCCAAACTACTTAATGTTGTTACTTTGAAATATTTCCATCGTAAGTGGATTCAGATATAATTATTGTGATAAGGAATTATATTTCTTGATTATTTTGAAATAAAACATTCAGTAATCAATTAATTTAAGGTAATGTACTGATGATTGTACACATGAATGATTGAACAAAATATCCGAATACGTCATATACTCGTATAGGCCGTTTAGCAAGTAATTTTAGATATAATTGGTGTTGATTCAATGTAGCCAAAGTATATTCTCCCCAAGATGAGAGCCAACTTTGTTTATGGATATATAGGTTAGTAGATATATAATGTTTACGTACCATTGCTAATTGGTAAAGTTTATCTCACTTATTTTAAAATGAAACCATTCAGTAATTAATTGATTCAAGATAATGTGTTGATCATACGTGAATGCCTCTGCAATGGGAGAGCCAAGACGAGACAATTGAAGATCGTAGTGAGAGCACACACCAGATTCATCGTTTGTATGAAGGTGGTTGACACTGTTTCGTGGTACCTTTCATTGGGTCGGACTTCCATTGTTTAATATGATATAATTCGATTTGAAATCCCTGAAAGAATCCATAGAAATTAAAAAGATAAACTCAAAAAAATAACAATAAATTAAGCAAAAAAACCTCGAATTACAATGAAATAAAATGCAAGCAACAATAAAAAATTGAAATATCAGCACGAGATAAAATTCAAAAATTATTAACAAGAAATGAAAATTGAAAATTAAAAAATTCCAAGCCAAGTTAGTTCACGACTTTTCGATTGTTAGTATCCACAATCGTCTTCGGGTGATAACTGGACTTATTTCTCCGAGTTCTTTCTATAGCTCATTCGAGTACTTCCACCTATCCCCTCTTCCCTCTACACACTTCATCGGTTTTAGCGGGAGCTGACCATCTGGCGGGAGTTGGTCGTGTTCCGCTTGATTATAGGTTTACATACGTTGCGTATATCTACGCTAGCTTGGCTGAATACATTGTTGGACAACATGTATGCGGCTTCTTTGAATTTTCTCCTAAACCAGTGTTCCTCCTTGTGGATGATTTCTGCGTGAAACCAATTGAAACATCAACCTAACAGGTTGATGTTTCTTCTTCATCTGTTAGGAAGAAACATCAACCTGTTAGGTTGATGATGTTTCATCAGAAGAAACATCAACCTGTTAGGTTGATGTTTCCTCTGATGTAGGGAAGTGTGAGCTGGTGAGTTTTTGAAAATGAAATAAGGTTGTTACGTGACATAGGCCAGTACTCCAGATGTAATTGTAGCTTGTATCATTTTACACAACATTGCCCAGTACTCACAGAATCCAGATTTTGAAGAAAATGATGGAGTTGAAGACAGTGTACTTGTTGATGGGGATGGAAACGATTGTATGAAGTTTACAGAAATGTAATGTAAAATTTTGGAGCACAGTACCTAGTCTCATACTTGTTAAATATACGTAAACTTCAATATGATGCTATTCACAACCGTCAAAAAATGCGAGACTACCTACTAATTTTCATTTATATATAAGCCCTTACTTGTTTTTGAAAACATGTGCTTGCAATAATGAAGTAACATCATCATAATGAATTAATTACTTTTACTCCTACCTTTTGTTTCAAGTATTTACTCTCCTTTTAGCTTCGAGAAATGTATATTATGACTGAGATATTTTTGTATGAAATAAAAAATTAAAAACCATTCCTATCACCGCGTTATCCTGAGAATTTTTCAGTATAAAAAATGCAACTGAAGTGATGAAAAACGCAATCTTTATTGTCTATTCCAGAAACCCACGAATTACACGCTCTGTAAAAAGTTGGAGTATATTCTATCATTCATATGGAATTGGAGGGCCCCTTTTCTTCCTGGTGTTCCTAATAGTAGTGAATCACTCAAACTTCACATTTTTTAAGGATATACACCCTAAAATAGCTGAAACAAAATGCTGGTTCGAATGTGAGTACATAAAATCATTCTACTTTCATTGACTGTCACAAATTGAGAGTTTGCTCACTTTTACAATATCTTAGATAATGTTTGGAATTTCAGTTACGAATTTGAAAATTATTCTTGAACACTGATGAAACAATAAAATTACTTGAAACCACGTCTAAATGAAAAAAACTACAAGAAAGTAAATTGCTTCAAAAATTCAATATTTCTGAACAATTGTAAACGCCTAACCTCCCGTTTGAATGGTCCTTAGTAATTTTGGGCTCGGACGAAGTAAATCATTATTATCAACATGAAATACATGGATGGCAAAGACAAATTCTGAGAGTAATTTAAAGCAAACATGAATTTTTTGAATGAAATATATTTCAATAAATTACAATTCAAATCAAATAGTCAAATATCTTTTCAAAGTATTTAGACTATTATGTCATGCCCATCTATAAGTAAAAAATCAATTTTTTTGTTAAATTTTATGTATTAGGATATTCTTCAAACGACATTTTTTTGTGGAAGACTCAATATTTTATACTGCTTTTATGAGTTTATAACCCTCCACAACCTGAAAAAATAATCTGCTGAAGTGTAGTAAGGAAACTGATAACAAGTTCACTCCAAAAAGTTACTACTTAATATAAACTACTAGGAAGTTCAGTCAGTCAGTAACTTGTATTTATAAATTTTGCGTACAAATTGAAGAAATCAATGAAAAAACTATTGATACTTAACTTTCTTAAGTGCTTAACGTTTCGGAAAACAATCCTCTTTCATTTACGAAAATTGTATTCACTATAAAAATCTCGCCTCAAACTGTGATGGTTCTGGAATCTCCAGATGTCTCACGCGACAGTCTACATGACCACACTTTCTGGATATATTTTGAGAATCCAGTTCAGTTAAGGTTCATATTTCTGTTTTCAACCTCTCTACTCAATAATGGCAACCCTGCTAAAAAATACATGCGGATTCTATGAGTTTTCTATTTTTTTCCATGAGTTTCTTTGGTGATAATTTTCGTTTCATTCCATATTATAGCGTGAAAACCAGATGATTATAGAATATGTTCCGCTAACCCCGATCCTGCCATCTGTCTTCTCCTTATATATTCCCGATGTTCTATTTTTCTCACACCTAGGGGTTCAAAAAATATGTTGATTTCTTGTTCCCTATCAGTGTTTATTGGAATGAAATTTAAATTTTGTTTCACTTTTGTGTTTATATTCAAAAATTTCGAATGAATAAATATTTCTATTAGCTTACAAGTATTCACCAGTCAAGCGACAATTTGAATCGTGCAAACCTCTCAGTACTTGTGAATGATTTTCCTGAATGTTATTGTCCTATCCTCCTGTTTTCAGAAAGTCCCGATATAAAATATAAATACGAACAGCGAGTGTGATGTGTGCATTATCGGAGTATGCAGGCCTTCCGGCTCACTGGACAACTTCCAGTCAACGACCACAGCAAAATTACTGATTTTTGATACCTCGCCTGTTCACGGTTCATTGGGAGTTGACCGTTTTCCGCTTAAGTATGGGTTTCCATATGTTACGTATCTCTATGCTCGCTTGGCTGAATGCGTTGTTGGACAACATGTATGCAGCTCCTCTGAATTTTCTCCTAAACCAGTGTTCCTATCTGTGAATGATCTCAGCTTGGGACCATTGATGTTATTTTGATGAGTCCAAACATGCTCTGCTATTCTCGATTTGCTGGTTTCTTCTCGCAGTGTGTGTTTCTTGTGCTCGGCAATGCGGATCTCTTAGTTTCACCGATGTAGGATTTGCCGCCCTCATAAGGTATCCTGTAAATGTAATTCATGGAATTGTAGTCTCGTGTTTGGTGGCCGGGTTTTCGTGAGGGTGCTACGAATGGTGTTTTTGGATCTAAAGCAGGTACTGATGTTGAACTTGGACCCAATTCTTCCTATCCTTTCCGAAAATCCTCTGATGTAAGGACAGTTTCTCTTCCTTTCGACGTTATTGCAGTCTTTCAATCAAATTCTATTCTATCATCACTCTGGAGTAACCATTCCGTTGAAGACCTTTTTTGATGATGCCTGTTTCCTTCTCGAGACCTCCCTTCGTATTACAGAGCCCGAAAGCACGGTCTACTAGAGTCTTGATGATTACTCTTTCGGTAGATTGATGGTGCTTGGATTCGCCGAGGCGATAGGTGAAAGCACTTGAATGATGTATAAATAGTCATCTCTCAGAGGAGTAAGACGATTATGGATACTAACAATCGATACGTCGTGAAGTAACTTGCCTTGAAATTTTTTCCTTAATTTTTTTCAATTGCTATTTCATATCAGGGTTTTCTGCTCAATATAATTATTTCAGGTTTCAAATCATATCATATCAGACAGTGGAAGTCAGATCTAATGAAATTCACCGTAAAACATCGTCAACCACCTTCAAACAAACGTTATAGAAAAGATGTTGAAACAAGTCGGATATAGGACACGAATTTTCGACTTTTAGTCGATAAAACCGAGTTTAGTCCAGTCATCTTAGTAAGTTCACCTTGTTGGTGAGCTGTTGCACTTGCTGGTGGAATATTTGAGAACTGCTCAGGGTATTTAGTTTTGTATAATTGACATATCGTCATAATGAAGATGATCGATACTGCCCACATATTTAGAGCATTATATACTACCAACAACGAAGAAATTCAATTCAAAGATAATTCAATGCTCAAAAAATGTTTTCTTTGTAGCAAACTTTCTGAAACTATCCTCTTATATCTGCCTAATTTTTTAGATCTATCCTATTTGGAGGTGAATTTAATTTCTACTGATATATTAAAAAACATTTTGGAAACAACTTATATACTTCAATGATTTCATCTAGAATATATGTTACCCATCATAGATTGAAACTGAAGTATTGAATGGAAAAATCTCAGATATGGTGGTATCAGATTATTCAAGAATCATAGAATGAATTCATTTGAGTCTATAAATGAAATCAACTGGAAAACTTATTGTGTGGAACAATATGAAATGATATTATGATTCACTTCATTCTGTGTTTGATTTTTGTAGTGTTTGCAGCTAAGAGAAAATTGAGGCGAATAATATTAAGACGCATTGGTTATGCGATGAAAAAACCAGGTGTGCTTTTTTCAATTAACATTTTCCATCTTATATAATTGATTTAGGTTATCTCTGAATATAGTTTATATATAAAAATCTGAACTTTGAATCATGAGCATGGATAGTGGGAGTTATTTTCCGCATAAAAAGAAAAAATGTTTAAAAGGTTAGATTTTCCTAAAGATAGAGAAATAACGAACAGCGCTGATGAGGAGGTTGCAAGTATATTCAATGAATCACAAAATGAAAGTTCAACAGGCAATCATTCAGGTATAATGATATATAGATATAATAACAAGGGGAGAGGGAACGATAGGAGATTCAATCAAATCCTAAAACTATACTCTGAAATTACACGGGAAGCTAAACATATGTTACGTAATTTATCAGCTTTGAACTGTACAAAAAAATTAACTATACCAAATGGTTACGTAAACAAGGTGAAATAAAGGGTTATGCTCACAGCTAGCCTGAACATGGAGAGAGGGGTGAGTTCTTGAAATACTAGGTGTCACTTTAACGGGCGCCAATAGATTCAAATATTTAACCCCGACTCAAAATAAAGAAATTAGAGAAATTGAATCTATAAGATCTACTCTAAAAAGTAACTAATTGATAATGAACTTTGATTACTAAATGTAGATATTGGCCCGTGGAAGTTACGGAAAGCAAAGTAAATGATCAAGAACAAATTTCGCTATGCGGTACTTAGCCAGATTTCTGGATTGTGCGGAGTACTGCACACCCTGGAAAGGGTGTTTACTCCCTTAATTATATCCTTAGAAGGCGACCCTGAATATTACGGTATTGCGACCAGCGAATATATTCTCTTCCGAGTAATTTTTATTTTCTCGAGATGATTTCAATATATGGGGTTAAACGCTTCCGATTACCGATTCCCTAATAATCGCAAGACGTTGACTTTCTTTTCCACCAAAAAAGGACTGATATCTAAAATCCTTCGTAGAGACAAATCGACAGTTGATAATCTAATCCGACGAATAATATCGTTCATATCACTGTCGAAAGGAACACTGATCAATTAAAACCGCCTAAAGCGTAAAATATGCAATCGACAGAATTTAGCGTTCAAGACATTCGAGCCATTTTCTGAAAAAAAAAACTCTACAATCCCTTTTTTTGTACCCGATAGTTCCTATCGCTACAAACAAAAGGTTTCCTCGTTTCATCGATGATGGCAGCAGCTCTCGTATGCGATATGAAAGATAATGGAAATGTATTCCTGGTTGCCTACCTTTTAGGAGTTTTTCTAAAATTTTACGGATAACGTAACACATAAATTACTTAACACTCTGGGGTTTTCCGAGTTCCATTAACAGTTCAAAATACATTAATACAAAACAGAACAGAATAATAAATATTATTCAGTGGAACATTAGAAGTCTAAATGCCAACAATCTAATACATTTAATTAACGAACATTCTCAAGAATAATATTGCCAAACGAGACTTGGTTAAATATCATTGCTTGGTCAATCATTTCGACATATATATATATATNCAATGTGTAGATATAGTAAATTCAATGGATACTGGGATGAAGATACAACTAAAAAGAAAACGCAAATATTCCGGAAAGCGAATTGGGAGTTATATCATAAATCTCTTAGCGAGAAGGATCACAACGAGAACACATCTTCATATTGCACATTGACAGAACTGATAAATGAGGCAGCGGATATAGCTATACCTATTAGAAATTACAACCGATCAAAAAAACCTAAATGCCCCTGGTGGGATCAGGAATGGGATCAGAAGGTGAAACAATACCAAACACATGGAGAAATTATCTAATTTTAGGGTTTCTTAAGAATAACAAGAATATGGAAAACTATATGAATTGTAGACCAATTGTTAAAGCTTCATGTTTGTTAAAAATATTCAA